CACACACACACACACAGCAAGCGTCAGAAAGATATCGATCTCATCTCGAGCCACGCATCAGAAACAAAACCAAAATAAACATAATTTTGTCAACACTGACCCCGCCCGCCACGCCCCCCACCCCCTCTCAAATCTGAGCGCAATACTCCTCCACACGCATGTGTTTCACACACAAGCGCTGATAAATCGTGGTTGTTGACAGAGCGAGTCAGCACGGTAACGGCCACATTTCGTCCAGATCAGATTGGGACAACAGCAACACAGAGGAAGAAGTAAAATCAAACAGAGCAGCTCTCCACCCCGTACGCCTTTCCATCAGTACACACCCTCGTAAACAAACAGTGACTTTACACAAGCAATCAACCTGAATATGAACACAGGTACTTCCACAGGCCATACAGCATGGATCATTTTAACGTACGGTCTTTTACGGACTGGGTTCTAGCTTCAAGGACCACAGATCTAAACGTTCTTTTCTTTCTTTAAAAAAATAAATATTATAATAACCAGCGTCAGGTATGTAGCTGTTGGGCGCTTTGGTGTTACACGCAGAAAACCCGAGCTAGATTCTCGTGTTGAGATATTTTTAAGAAAATCAAAATCTGTCTTTCTGTTGGGACGTTATATCCCTCAGCCCTGATAAGCCCTGACAGGCAGGATCGAAGCCAGCTCCTAAATTATCTCCATTGTGTCGATGAGGGTAAAAAGGGGAAATAAACTTAGAGATAAAATAAAAGCAAACACGAATATTTTTACAAGACCACAGCAGAACCCTTTTTTTTTAATTTAAAAAAAAGGCCTGCCCGATACAGCATAAATTGCTGGTCAAGTTCATTTTTTGGTGTACATGTACTAGTTATTCAGAAGGTATCTATGTCTAAACGCTCTGCACGAGAGCACTTACAAACGGCGCACCTTTGCCACGACTATGCAATGAATCATGTTTACATTCACTAGTTTAATTCTTTTAATAAAGCTTTCAATGTGTTGGGCAGGGGCTGTTCTTGAAACGTTTACACGGTTTGTAAGTTAAATTTACATATCATAATATATTTATATTTTGGTAAAATATTGTAGATACTGTGTATAATAAGTGCCGCAGCATCTTCAGGGAGAAATCTTTTTTTTAATCTACCGTCCAAGGAGCGTCATATTTTTATTTGACAATTAGGTGAGCATCCAAGCTAATGGCCACCTATCCTCAGACGTCGACTTGCCCCAATATGTGCAAAGGTCTTGATGGGGGGACATTTCTCTTCTCACGGCTTAATTAGAACGGCTTGGCGCAAACGGGATGTTGACATTTTGTGAGCACTTCACAAACGACGACCTTTTTCGAAGTTGCAAAAGTCTCAAAGTTTGTAGTCATGCCCTCTGGAATTACCCTCTGAGAAAATGTGAGTGTGTTGCGAGTGTGTATTGTATGTGTGTCAGAGAGAGAGAGAGAGAGAGAGAGAGAGAGAGAGATAGAGAGAGAGAGAAAGAGAGAGAGAGAGAGAGA